TGATGGCAGGGGTCAAGCGTAAGGCCCGGCAATTCGGATTTGGAAAAGCGGAAGCCTAACTGAATATTTTTCCTGAATTTTATACTAATTGAACTTGAAAAAGAAATTTAATTTGATTTTTTTTTTTTTTTTTTTTTTTTGTTTATTAATTTATTTGATAAGGCTCAACCGAATTAACTTTACAGAGCCAAGGATTCTTGGTCACTATACAATACATCTTAAAACTATAGTCAAAAGGTACAACACAATAAACACTTTATCTTCCGCTATCCAAAAAGCCTTCTGCATCAGAACTAGAGCCGCTTCCAGTGGTTTCATTGTATGGCAAATTGTTGTACGCCAACGAGGGTCAGAGCGCGTCCATTGCAGCAATGGACGCAAAACGTGGTCAGCACTCACACACTCATCACGAAACGGTTGCTTTCCAAAGTCGACGACGCATCGACCGAAAGAACTGCTGATGAAGAACAATGAGGAGGACCACACAATGGTTGCTGCCGAGAAAACAGACGATCGCGCAGCACACATCGAGAGTGGCCTGCTTTTGTCGACAGCCGAGTGAACACTGATAATTTGATTTTTTAAATAAACGATTTCACCGATTTACACGCGTTTTCCCTTGACCAAATTTTGACCGTATCACCCTTTATAACATTTTCCCTGATTTGGCACAAGGTTGCCACAAATCTTTGTTCGCAGGCTGCAGAAAAGTGTAGATATTTTCTCTTCTTATTTACAAAAATGGAAGATTTCTCCCAACGCTTCCAAAACTCAACTTAAGCCAACCTAATAGTAATCACATGCATAGTCACTATGAACTGAGTTCCAATTTCCTGGTCAAACCAAGTGAAATATCTTGGATTAGTACTTGACCAAAAACTAACTTTTAAAGATCACAGGCATTCAAGCCAAATGTAACAAATATATTAAATGTTTATATCCTCATATAAACAGGATATCCAAACTTCACCAGACGAATAAACTTCTCATATATAAACAAGTTTTCAGACCGGCCATGTTTAACGCTGTGCCAATATGGTCTAGTTTTTGCACTACCAGGAAAAAAGTACGTCAAAGGATTCAGAACAAAATTCTGAAGATGATTTTGAAGTTGCCTCCCTGGTACAGTAATACCAACAATCAATACGAAACTCACGATTTTAAATTGGCTCACCACTTTAGTAGCCTATTGGTCCCAAGCAAACGATTAACGTACCCTATTCTAGTTGAAATTCTATTATTACACTATGTTTGTTTTGATTCGCTATGAAAGTTTGACAGATAACATCAGGGGTGTGTGGATTCATGCAGAACATGCAGGGGTGAGTGAAATAGCTTGGGACTGCTTGGGACCGTTGTTCTGGTACTACGTGAGCCAAAAATAATAATGATTTTCTTCGGGACCCAGTGGTCTTAGAGTTACCTCTATGGTAATACCAACAATCAATACGAAACTAACGATTTTAAATTGGCTCACTACTTGACTAGCCTATTGGTCCCAAGCAAGAGATTAACGTATCCCATTCTAGTCGAAATTCTAGTACTACGCAATATTTGTTTTGATTCGCTATGAAAGTTTGACAGATAAAATGAGGGGTTATCGGTTTTTCCTATGTTTCGAGGGGTGAATCGATCAGCTTGGGACCGAAGAGAGTACCAGAGCTGAGCCAAAAAGTTGAGCACGTTATTTCGGGACCTTCTAGTCTTAGAGTTACCTCTATGGTAATACCATAGAGGTAACTCTAAGACCAGAAGGTCCCGAAGAAACGAGCTCAACTTTTTGGCTCAGCTCTGGTACTCTCTTCGGTCCCAAGCTGATCGATTCACCCCTCGAAACATAGGAAAATCCACGAACCCCTCATTTTATCTGTCAAACTTTCATAGATAATCAAAACAAACATAGTGTAGTACTAGAATTTCCACTAGAATGGGGTACGTTAATCGATTTGCTTGGGACCAATAGGCTAGTCAAGTAGTGAGCCAATTTGAAATCGTTAGTTTCGTATTGATTGTTGGTAATACCACAAACGAAGTGACAGACGGAGCGGCTCGAAAACTTTGGTGACTAACCTGCTATTGCAATTTTTCAGTGTACCACATGGCAACACCACTACTACTGGAATGTACCACATGGCAACACTACTACTAGATTGAACTAGCATTTTCACCAAATGTACTAGAATGTTTTGGTTCTATCTCTTTCTCTCTACTCAAAACTGAAATGCATAAAAAAAATGACAAAATGATACGCACTCTTTGCACACTGTCAAAGAATCATTGTACACAAAATCAACTTTGTTCAAATGAAAACAAAAAAACTAACCCATCTGGTGGATGATGGCACAAGCTTCCAAGAAAATTCTATTACAGTGAACCACATTATTTTAATGGATTTCTTCGCCAGTTAGTCGTCTGTCACTTCGTTTGTGGTAATACCGAGGTAGATAGAATTTCGAATGTTGAGACTTTAGAACAAATGTCCAACAAAATAATTAATAATTTCAGGCAAAAATCGTTGCAATCCTCAATGGCAGCGATAAATTCCCTTTATACTTAGATAGGATTTAGCTTTAGTTTTTTATTTTAAGATTTCAATTGTTGTACTGACATGCAGGTTTAAAAAACCTGTTTAAAATACTGAATTGCCAAGACAGGAATAATTTAAAAACACTTAGATATATATATCATAACAATTAAGGCTGGTAAGTAACTGTAGTAACTGGAGTTCCTAGATTAAAATGTAATTTATTTTGAATTTGGAACTAATAAAGAGTTAAAAATGTCTGTTCAGCTCGGAAGTTGAGCGATCACTATACCATTGAAACATTAATACCACCTTCTCACTAAAATTCTAAACAAAAGATAGATCCATCAATATAAGAACACTCTTTTTCCAGGCAATCTGGCTACATCGAATTTATTGTACAGATTCATTATCAATCAAAGTTCTTATTTTATTGCATGACATTATTGCTGCTGATTTTCCAACTCATGAACTTTGACAGGAGGCAGTTAACTAACGGATGTTAAAAGCAACAACAATCAATATCAACAAATTCTGTCAGGCAATCTGGATCCTGTCATTTATTAAAATAGTCTACACGCAAAACATATTTTTCTTACATCCAATAAAGTGGGATTCACTACATCCTCTGCATATGTTTCATACAACAAATGTAATGGCGGTTATTGCAAATTTTTCCTGAATGAATTTTTTTGTTTAAAATTTTTACGAGATGATTTTTTAGGCACAATGCATTTGATTATTTTAAAAACCTTCCAGCGACCAAATCTGGAATACAATCTTACCATTTCCAAATGGGGTGTATAAGCGACTACCATCGATTAATTTCAAATGGATGACACGTTGATAACTTTTTCAGCATCACACGGAAATTGAACTCGACATTTTTTTTCAAAATTATGTATCTTGGATGCTATTTATTTCTCCGTTTTTAAATGTTTTCAAACCGTTGAAACAGCTATTTCCTCCACTTTTCATAATTATGCTGGTCACATTATCACCCCTATTCTGTATTTCGTTTCGAACGAAATTCTCATACAAAAAAATATTTTTTTGTATGAGAATTTCGTTCGAAACGAAATACAGAATAGGGGTGTATACCTGTTTTTGTCATTTCACCGTAAAAACCGGATTATTTTTTTAACGATATTTTACAGAGGTAAAGTAGTTAACGCTGCCGGTGGTGTAGTGGCAAGCGTGATTACCTCTCACCCCAGCAGGCCTGGGTTCAATCCCAGTCGGCGCCGCCGGGATGTTCTGAGGCATAACATCTCTGATCACGCCTTCCTTCGGATGGGAAGTAAAGCCGTTGGTCCCCGGTTCATGAGTTGATGGGTCGATAGGTAGGGTCCAGGTGTGGGAGCTGCCTTCCTGGCACGTCGGTAGCATTGGTGCTCAGCACGGAAAACAAGATCGACGGAAAAAACAAACCAAGGGAAAAAAAGAGGTAAAGTAAGTAAAGGCGCAGCTACAAAGCAAGACCATGCTGGAGGTGGCTGGGTTCGAATCTCGGTCCGTTCTAGGAATTTTTCGGGTTGGAAAATTTCTCGACTTTGGTTTAGTGCTCGAAGAGTTATGTACTTTTGCATGGTACTTTTGTGATAAACTCGGGTTTCACGGTTCAAATCAGATAATTCAACTCGTCCCCGATCTGGTAGTCGATGTCCAAGTAACTTGAAAGCGAATACAAAAAGATGAACACCAACTAACTTCTGGACGTTCGATTCGCAGTTAACGAAAGACAAATCAAACAAACCTGTCAAAATTTAATGTTCGTTGCTAAATAATCAGTTGTTTGTGTCAGTCGAATCTACATTTTTTAATTTAGCTTTTTTTAAAAAGCTACACTAAAAAATGTAGATTCGACTTCCTTAGAGTAATGTAGCTTTTTTAATGTTTAAAAAATCATCTATTAGGCAAATATGACCACTTATGACTTAACCGTACGTTTATGCATCCGCAAAACAAAATTCACCGTCACTTGGTTAGTGATCAAAAGACTTGTTCGATTTTCTTGTAGCATAGACTACGAACCCCGTTTTGAAGGAAGTCTACTTGCAATGGTATGAACATATTTGATTCATATGCGGCGGCATTCCACCACCACCCAGAAAGTATGGTACATAAATGCGACACCTTCCACATCACATACACAGTCGACCATTTGTTTATGAATCATTTGAAGGAATACGCCAAAACAAGAAAGGTCACACTCGCTCATTACATAAAAGTCACAGTTTTGATCGCATGACTCACTCAAAGTTATGATACATAAGCATCTTAAATGAATCTCAAATTGATTTTTTTGTAGATAGAAATCTATTAAATGATTTGTTTAATGTAACATAATATGTCTTAAAATTGCGATACTACTCTTTGAAAAACATTTTTCGGCTTTGTGAGTATTATGCTACACCTATACAGAACGACGTGATCACGCATACGTCAATCTCAAAACCACCCATCCTATTTTATAGTACCACGTACTAGTATACGATCGAATGCTGTTCTTCGTTTCGCACGAAAAGAAGTGTAGTTGGAACATTTTGTGAAAAATGTAATAAAATATTGAATCTATTGGTTATTTGAAACCATATTGGTGCTATTAAGTGTAGAAAAATATGAATCAGCTCTTCCGAAGACATGTGATTAGCATAAAAAAATAACGATTTCAGTCAATCTGAATGTTATCCTGAGTAGATCAATGATATCATCGACTTTTAATCCTGAAATCTAGAGTGGTCTTTAACAGTGGAAAATAAAACAAAAAGTGCATCATGCCGAGAAAACTGTTGAAGTTTCTTATCCTTTTTGATAATTCATCACTGCTGTATTTCCCTGGTCAATTCCTATCCGGAAGGGTTTTACTTGAGCTGCAAGAGAATACACCCGTACTAGGTATGGTCGCTGTAATTAATTCAACATACAACCAAAAACCATTCTCGCATTTGATATTGATTACGCCATCATGAAAACATGTTATAACCATAATCCAATTCCAAATTAATACTACATCAGGTAATCACTGAAATATTGATTTCCAATTTCTTAGTCGCTATTTTTTTTTATGGGACGGAAAAATCTCTTCTTGGCGAATATATGAGTCCATGTATTCGCTCACTTGAAATAATATATACGTCACAGCTCATCTCAATGTTACTACATGCACAACACTGTAGTGTATGGAAGTACATTCATTAAAAGGCAGCGCTTGAATGGCCTTCGCTTCAAGATCTGATACTTTTTTTTTTGCTCTTCCGCACATTGTCACATTTATTCAACATGACGTGATCGATGGAGTATTTGAATTGATCAACCAAAATCTTCAAAACCATATTTCTGATAACGCTTGTGTCTAATGTTACACAGCTTGATGCTTATTTTAATTTATGTTCACGTTATGCAATTAAAGCATTCATGTCAGAAATAGCAGTAGAGGTCTGCTAAAATGGCTATGACCAAACGTAGAATAGTTGATACTTGCCAATTTTGGAGAGCCTCTTTCTAGGTGATCTGACATAAGGCGTTATGTTTGTGGGTTTCTTATTACAGCAATGAATCGTTAATCACCCCAACGCATCTAAATATTTTTTTTTTCGAATTGCACGCAATAACTAAATAAACTTGGCCTAGAGAGCCCATTTGAACCCTTAATAAGAATTAATTCTTCTTCATGGCTGAAATCGTTGTACTGTAACTGCTTTCAAGGTATACTGTTTAAAACTCTTCCACAGTTATCAATGGACTGCCTTCTAATACCTTTTTCAGACAACATATTTATAACATGTTATAGTAATTATCTAATTATAAATATAATAATTAACGACAAGAAAAATCTCCTCAAGATAGCCTCATAACCCTTCTATGAATCAGAGCAAAAAAGTAGAAGAGTATGTGTGTAGGGGCACGAACGGAAGGTTGACGTAGAACCGCGATTAATCGATAAATTGTTTGCGCTTAGTTCTTTTGGTTGATTCTATCTATAAATTTAAAACTCTTCAAACATTGGAAATGATGGCTGGTTGGTACCTAAACCTGATATGGTTCTTCCCTGTGAATTCACGATGTTTTTCCATGACAGCCATTATTTGGTAAGATTTCTTCATTGAAAATAATAGTTATTTAAACAAATATTGAAAACATGGTAATCGTGGCAAAACAGACTAAAATTGTACACACTAAGATTTTGTTGCCGAGATGGACACCACCGAGCAGCTCTGCATTTTATTTTGCTGAAAATTCAGAAAAAAAATATGTTTGTTAGCTGAGATCTCGGCAAAATTCCCGTTTGTTAGCTGAATCTCGGCAAGTTTTTCACTGAGATCCAGCAAAATAAAATGCCGAGCTGCTCGGTGGTGCCCATCTCGGCGAAAAAATCTAAGTGTGTAGATTACAAGTTGAAACCATTTTTATTTGATCCCTGAGGCTGTTTCCAATTGATGGAAAGTTATCAATTGGGTTCTTTAATTTATGAAAAATATATCGGTTTCTATACATCATCTGAAAGGGCTTCGTTTTCTGAGCACAACGATATTTTTTTCGATCCCATTTACTGCCCTGTGCGGCATAACAGTCCCATTAGCATTTTTGGCGATTATGAGTTATACATTGGAATCTATTGTCAAGTACCATCACTTTACAATGTACACGAAAAAAATCCTACTTTGTTCAGAAAATGTCGCGAAAAATAACAAAACTACCGTTCCGATTCAAATTTCGGACGATTCAAATTTCGGACACTTTCATTTTGAATTAAATATTACATCCAGTTAGAAACAAAGTAATAATGTTAGATGATCGTGGAGGGCACTAGTCAAAAAAATTTAAAATTTACAAGACATGTGGATCATATTCGACCGAGATAATCAACTTTTAAAAGTGTCCGAAATTCGAGTTTAAGTGTCCGAAATTTGAATCGGCACGGTATGTTGTCCCATCCATAAGAGCCCATGGAGAAAAAAATCTTCAACAGCGTTTTTCTCAGCTTGCTGTTTTAACGAATGGGACAACTATGCTGAAAAGGGCAGTTTACTTCTACATTGATTTTTAAATCAAGATTTAAAGCAAACTAATCACTTAACTGTTTGACACAAAACTAACATATTGACAGCTCACTCCCATACAAAGTACCACTTATTTAAAACAGTTGCAGTGCTCCAAAATTGATGAAATTTTGGATTTCGGTTCCATTTGTGATGTAGATTACGAATATCCAATTACCTTGAAACCCCTAAAGAACCCAATTAACCCTGATATCCGAGCGTGATTATTTATAACTGACAGACAAAAGAAAAGATTTTAACAACTATGCACGAAAACTGATCGATCAATGCCTGTGTATTTTCTAACATGAATAAAATCTTTCAACATGTAACTTTTACTTCCGAGTTGAATTTAACGTGCCAAAAGGGAATTGAAAAAACAATTATTAAAAGGTTTGAGAGATATTTAAAATTGCCAACTTTTATAAACAAAACGTCGATTATTCTTTCCTCGCCGATCGAACGCAAATTACCAGCATCATGGAATAGGGGAAACTTTCCCCAACCTAAAGATGGTGTTAGTTTGCGTAGGCGAGCCTTGAGTCACTAGAAAAGGGTTTCCGAAGTTTTTAACGCAATAACTGATGTGTTCTTTTCTGTTGTTGGTCGTGATTTGCTCGATTAGTTCCGCTATTTGACAGCTCTATTGGTAGTTATGCTGAAAATAAGTGTTTTCTGCAAAATAGTATTTCTAACTATGGTCTTAGTTTCAGTGTACGTTAGTAGAAAACTTAAGGACAATAGACATATAATATAGAATAAATAATTTTTTTTCAGATTTTTATGTGTATACATAGATTTCAGCTTTTCTACCACTGTACCAGATTTAAATAAAATGTCCCATTTACAAAATAAAAGCATTTTAAGATTGTACTCGTATACTTTTCCGTGGAAAATTTTGAAACCATCATCACTTTTATAGTTCGTCTATTATCCACGAGTGCCAACTTTGATTTGCCAATATTATTCGCCGATCATTCATAGAAGGTATGCAGCACCTTCCTGTCGAAAATACCACTGTTATATCTGTCAGCAAATTTCTTTCCCGGTCATCACACATGGCGAGATGAAAGAGATGTTTTTGTTACTCCCCCACACCATTGACAGTTTTAAGTAACATCAAATATTTATTGATTTTGTGTGAATATTGATTCCAGGATTGCACTTCCACGTCGTTGGAGAATGCGTAGTACGCGTTAGATCAGGACGTCATGAACGTTCCTATGATAAAGAGAACTACATTGACTTTAGGATGCGATTGCTAGGTGACGCAGAACATCAAGGTCCAACTGTGCTGTCCCCTGGAATTCACAGTTTTCCGTTCAAACTTGGCCTGCCGGTTGATCTACCATCCACGTTTTTAGGTCGCTATGGATGGGTACAGTATTATTGCAAAGCTGCTCTGCGTGAACCGTCAGGGTTAATCCATAAGAACCACCAGGTCTTCATCGTCATGAATCCAATAGACTTAAACACGGAACAACCATATTTGGCGGTATGTATCAATCCCTCTCTATTAAAGTATGTTTCTGTTAAAATAAATTCGGTCTGATCTATGTACCTTTCAGGATCCATTCAAATGCAATATTGAGCATAATTTAGGGGTTGCATGTGTTGGAGGAGGCATTGTAAAATGTAGAATTATTCTGGACAGAGGGGGATATGTCCCTGGTGAATCGATTATGATTACGGCGACAGTTACAAATTCTAGTGGCGTTACAATAAAGAGTACCAAGGCCGCGTTAACTGAGGTATAATCAAGTTAGAATAGCTTTACTAAGATAGTTATTTACAACCACTTACTTTTCTAATTGCAAGACCATTCAATATTTTGCTCATGAAAAATTGATTCAAACGGAAAAACGCGAACTAGCGGTTATTTCACGAGGAAAAATTCGCCCGGGAGGTCGGGATGAATGGCAAAATGAATCTCTTTATGTGCCACCCCTTCCACCAACCAATCTACGAGGATGCCATCTGATTCGGATACAATATGATGTTTGTGTAAGTAATTTAATAAAACATTTAAACAATATATGTAAGTATATTACGAATTGCGTAAATCTTATATTTCTTATGTGGCAGTAATAAGGTTTTAGATTCCTGCGCCTAAAATAAGTACAGAGTAATATTGTCGCACTGGGTATAAAATTTATATATTAAACTTCTCAAAGTTATTTACAGCTAGTATTCAATCATATAGCTTGCCAATACTCATCTTAAGGTGCAAAAGGCCGCATAACATGTTTAAAAAAATCAAAAGCTTCGTTAAAAATTGAATTTCTGTTTCTGAAAATGTGTTCATTGTATTCTACTTGCCTAGCGGATCACAGTGAACACATTTTCATAAACAAAATTTCGATTTTGAACAAATAAACTAATCTTCTTTTTTTTTGCCGACCCTTTGCTTTCAAATAAATAGGTATTCCAATTTCCTCAATAATATAAAAGTACCATAAACGAACCGTATCCCAGATGGGTAAACTATCACACAAATGGTTTGGATGATACACCGAACACGTCGTTATAAGCTCTCTTTTGTGGTTATTTTGTATTAGGACTGCCCTTTGCGAAAAAAAAAATAATGCGCATTTTTTTCACTGGAGTCTAAAGTGATAAAAGGGTAAAAGTTCGCAATAAATCTCTTTGCTGCAAAAATAATGACAGCACTCACCATCAGAGGGCGAGCTGCCTTCAATCGAATAGGAACTCAGTGATGAGTAAATTTGCCTCATGTTTTCCAGGTTTGTCCAGGAAAAAAATCCCCAATATGACAAAAGTAAAGATTGGATTCACTCAATGTATTGATACTCCTAGACTGAGTAAAATTTTCGTAAATTTTCCTCGTTTTCCGGCAGATTTTTTAGGTTTTCCACAGGAAAACATGAGGCAAATTTACTCATCGCTAGTGACGCTATTGCACAGTGGTCCAGAATGCAGATTTAGGTGGAAGGATATGTTTTGAGCTTGAGATTGAAACTATAGAATAAAAGTCTCTTCTACAAAGTTGTTCCTTATAGTTACCCTAATAAAAAATAACCATAAACGAACGATAACCCAAATCATTGAACTATTCCACAAATGGTTTGGATGATACCCAGAACACGTCATTAAGCAAATTAACCATACAATTTTTATTAGGGTAGGCCTTCATTTTTATGACAATGAATTCTAGGGTGGTTTTTATTATCATTGAAATCAAAAACCTAACTTTTTTGTTTGTAGAAATTAAGGTATACATTTTTCGGCAAAGTATAGCTGAGCTAATTTCAAGCAACTTTGTAAAAAATAACTTTTTTGTATCTCCTAAATTTACCGATGTAGAGCTATTTTCTTGAATTGAGTTAGGGTGTCTCTAAAACAACAGTTGTTTTGCTCTAGATTTTTATTTTAAGTTTCTCAGCAAATGTCTTCAAATAACTTTTAGATTTTTAGAAGGTGCAACTTTTTGCTGTACAGAGCTTGTTGATATCTTTCGCCGATCAAGAGTTATTGACGTTTTTCTACTAAAAAATATGCCCTTTTCAAATGGTAATATCTCTTGGAGCAAAAAAAAAATTAGGGAATTTGAAAGGGCGTGTGTTATTCTCAATAATATGAAAAAGTTAGAGGTATGTTATTTTTTAAACTCGTTTAAAATCAATTTGAATTTATTCATATTTTTTACTATAATTGGGTACATCTTTTTTATTAGAATAGCCAACAGAATACAAACAACAACTTTTGCTATAAAGAGCTTTAAAAGTCTCTAGAAGATGACTTTAATGATAAATTTGAAATAAAAAAGTTATAGGCAAAAGACGGTTTTCACAGGACCACTCTAATGACAAATTTAAACAAAATTAAATACTTTGACTATATGTTTAGTATTACTTCTGCGTGAAGTCGACGATTTACATAGTTGAAGATGCTTATTTCAAATAACAGACTGAAGTGGTAATTTTTATACGATAGATGGAGGAGATGAAAGTATAGAATTGATAGTTCCGTTATAATACGCCAGTGTGAAAATTGCATATAGATAGTAGATAGCGAGCTAGGACAACTTTTAAGGAAGGTAAAAATCGGTTTTTTCATCTCTCTTTACCAAACAAGACTGCAATAACGTCTGTAGTATCGAAAAATGTCCACTCAGATTTAAAGTGTCTATGTGGACCATGCATGACCTATTTCCGACTAACCCAGATGTTCAAGGTTCTTCAAATCGTCCTGCAGTTCAGATAATATGATCTACTAGATCAACCGAGATTGGGACAATGTCTTTAGTATCGAAATATTTCCAGACAGATGCACAGTGTCTATATGGATAATGTATGATTTATTTCCATGTATACCAGATGATCTAGGTTCTCCAAATCGTCCTGCATTTCAGATGATTTGTTTTACTAGATCAACAAAGACTGGGATAATATCTGTAGTATCGAAATATCGATTTGGAAATCCCAGAACATTTGGCATACACGGATGTAGGTTGCCATGATCCACATAGACACTGCAAATTTGTTTTGACATATTTCGATACTAAAGATATTGAATTAGTCTTGGGCGAACTAGTATAAAAATAATCTGATCTCCAGAATGATTTCAGAACCTATAACATCTTGTATACATAGCAATAGGTCGGGCACGATCCACATAGACACTTTGAATCTGTTTGGACATATTTCGATACTACAGACATTATTGCAGTCTTGGTTGATATACCTAGTAGAACAAACCTCAGGACGATTTGGAGAACCTAGAATGGCAATTACTCGCATATATACGATTCGTTTATGATTTGACAACGACAAATGCTATGTTCATATTGGAAATAAAAAGAAACATGAAAATGTCTCACATTGGACATACCCCAGGGAATTTCCGTGTAAATCCGGTGTGACTAATGGAATTGAGATCATTTCTCGATTATTTGCAGGGTATTTGGTTTGAACCGGTAAATGTAATTTGATGACAGCAAAATAATCCAGGACGGAAAGGTTACAACAGCACATCTGTCCCTTCGCGATTTTCGCGACATCATTTAATATTTCCGAGATTTTTGCGACTGAAAGTTCAAATCCGCGAAAATCGCGAAATCCGCTAAATTCGCGAAATCCGCGCCTGTTGTAACAGCTCTGAAAGTATCGTTGTTGGTAGTACTGCTACATGTGGCGTGCATAGTCAATTCCCGCGTTTGACGTTTACACACTACCGCCATATGTTCAGCGTACTACCATAGAGGTAACTCTAAGACCAGAAGGTCCCGAAATAACGTGCTCAACTTCTTGGCTCAGCTCTGGTACTCTCTTCGGTCCCAAGCTAATCGATTCACCCCTCGAAACATAGGAAAAACCAATAACCCCTCATTTTATCTGTCAAACTTTCATAGCGAATCAAAACAAACAGTGCGTAGTACTAGAATTTCGACTAGAATGGGGTACGTTAATCGTTTGCTTGGGACCAATAGGCTAGTCAAGTAGTAAGCCAATTTAAAATCGTTAGTTTCGTATTGATTGTTGGTTTAAGCACCGGTTAAAAACTAATGATTTAAAATTGGCTCACTATTTGACTAGCCTATTGGTCCCAAGCAAATGGATAACGTACATCATTCTAGTCGAAATTCTAGTACTACACTATGTTTGTTTTGATTCACTATGAAAGTTTTACATATAAATTGAGGGGTTCGTGGATTTTCCTATGTTTCGAGGGGTGCGTCGATAAGCTTCGGACCGGAGATAGTACCAGAGCTGAGCCAAAAAGTTGAGCACGTTTCTTCGGGACCTTCTGGTCTTTACCTCTATGGTATAAGCTGGCGATATGTTTCTTCAGAAAAAAAAACTGAAGGAACTCTGTCCGACCCTAAGTTCTATGAGCTGGCACGTCGGTTCGTCGGTGCTACTATATCATATAAGTGCAAGTTGCAGTCGATTATTTGGAAGGCTTAATCGTTTTAGCTTTACGGAGCCGATAATTCATTGTTTGTAACAAAGTTCACTTAATTCTATGTCTGGTAGGAGTTGAGCCGAATACTGACGGCTTACCCGAGGTTAGAATGGTACATCCATGTACATCGTCGAAGGATAGAATCAGAACGTTGTAGCTAATTACCTTGAAGTCTAATCAAAAAGTGTTCTTCAGCAAAGTTTTAGCTGATAAAATTTCCCATAAGAACAAATAGCAAACTTTTCCGTAGATGACTATAGCGAAGGGCTAGAACGTTGAGAACACAAAGTTCATTTTTTCCATAGTAATTCTCATAGAAACTTCGAAGGGCCAGTGCAGTATGAGTTCGCATCCAAATGAACTAAAATTTTGAGAGAATTATCAGAACCTGATTTGGAATCGATTGAGCTTGGTGGAGCAAAATCGATATTTTAAACCACCCTATTATCTATATTTCCACAATTAAAATGTTCTAAGGAAGTCGCCAGTTATTTATATTACAGTAATTGCCCGATTTTGACAGCCATCCGCACATCAGACTTTTACCCTTCAATAATTTCACATAACCGTAATTTCAAATCTTTCTCAAACATCTACAAGATTGATGTTTGAGGTATACTTTGATGCAATAATACCAGTGAAAAGCGCATGGGTTTCGTAGAACATACAAAAAAGATTTTCAAAAAGGGCGCTGGCTAAATCGGGTTATTACTTTATACACCAAATCCAGTGTATATTATTGCATACATTGAGGGTACAACTAACGAACGACAGTGATCTGGTATTCCAGAGCTTCATTGCTAAATTAAAAAATGAACTAAAGTTTCAATAAAGAATTCGGAACATCTATCAATAAACGCCGCACATTGATAACATCATATTAGGTAATTCCTAGAAGACATCAATAATACGATCGCTTTTCGGGCACAAACCTCTTCTTATTTTCAGTTTTTGATTGAACCAAAATCGTTAGAGAAGCAGGTGAAACTACAGCTACCCATTACACTTGGAACATATCCCTTCAAAACCGGCGATGGAGAAGACACGAACGAGTGGGCCGAGACGGTCTACAAACCGGAAACGCACTATCCCTCAACGTTGCCCATTTTCAGACCATGGCTACACGAGAAACCCGATTCCAAATGATGAATCGACGAGCAAGTCGTGCAATCATGACAACTTGTTAGGTGATATTTTACAATTAGTAAACTGCATTTTATAGAATAGACAAGTACGAAGAAACGGCAGAACGGTACAGAAAAGTGCCATAAGAGTGTAAACTTAAAATCGTAGAATGGTGTATTTTAAATAACAAATTGAATATTAATAATAAATCATACAACAATGGAATTTACAAATTATGGTCTTGCTTTATCTTGTTCACCAGGTCTGCCTTATTCAGTCTCGATATTCCATCAACCCCTTGTTGCTGTAAATATGCCCGAAGAGTCGCCACAAGTAATGACCCGGTCTAAAATAGAAAGATTGCAATAGATTCGTTTAGGTACAAGCAAACGCACGTTTGCATTCTTATATTCTAGTTACTTTTCCAGACTGTATTGCTTCTACAATCGCTACCGGATCAACATCTGCAGTTAGTTTTTGAGCTTTGCTACTCGGTCCTTCACCATCAGCTGCTTTGGCTCGCCTTTTGGTAGTTTCAATAACGTCCTGTAATATTTTGAAAATTCAGTCCACTTTTACTTAACTTAGGACTACTAATAAAATTACCTCTCCAAACAAATCAGCTATTGTTTTCACAAAAGGTCCAACTTTACCATCAATCCGATCATCGTCCGGCTTTGTTGAATCGTACACTTCTAAATCATGTTTATCGAAGAGCAGTGCCTCTATGTTGGTGTAGGTTGTAAGTAATACCGGATTATCAAACTGAGAGGGGTGGTATTTGAACTTGATTTTCTTTGCAATTGACTTGAATACATCTATCTGCTGTTGTGTGACATCCGGCGCAGATCGCTCGAAAACTTCCAATTTTCTCATGTCAGCTATAAAGTATGATTTTATCAGGCTCATTTGGTTATCACGAGTGATTTAATTAACAGCGAATGTTAACCCTCTCCTTCCCATGTTCCCGGTCCTACCCATGTTTGTCAGTCTACCATTGAATAGCCAGTACTTATTTAAGTTTATCCGTGTGCTCATCATTCTCGTCCATATGTGTTCTGAGCAAGTATTGAAAAACCTTTAAACTATAGAAAAGGTAACTAAATCAAAAACTTTTTTTTAATGAATTCGATAATTCAGTGCCAACATTTCAAAGAGGCTTAATTGCTTTTGTAAACAATGGCTGTCGATTTCTCGCATCTTAAAGCTCACTCCTTCAAAATAACAATGCTAGATGGTAGAGGAAACATTCCTCTAACTGTTGGTGTCATTATTTTTCATGAGTGAGCGTTTATTGGCGAGAAATCGACGGCTAAAGCCATTGTTTACAAATACAATTATGCCCCTTTGTTGGCACTGAATTTTAGATTGTATGGAACATCTTTTGTTCTAGCACTTTTTTTTAAACAAATTTTTTGATCTAAAAAACAAACAAAAAAACCTTTTGGGGAGGAAAGGGTTAATAAAAATATACCTGCATATGGAATAAATTCAATTCTGAATCCACTATGACGAAATGGTTCGCCATCCTCATCACAGCAACATACTTGTGGAACCAGTGCAACCAATCTATTAAACAGATAAAATTTAAATTACATCTGAATAATCGGTGATTATCTTCCCCTGACGACAAACAAGTCAAGAAAGGTTTTTGTACCAGAGCTATTAACGAAAGAGGAAGCGCAATAATAAGTATCAATGATCAATGAGATGGATTACCGAGGTGAAGAAATCGGTTAAGTTGTGTGAGTAATACCCCTGTACGATACAAGCAATTAGTGACGTCACTATTTGCGTTTACGTTGATTTTTTGGTTTACTAATACAACAATATTTCACAATCTGCTTCACCTCTCTCTGTAGCTCATTGGTCAGAAATAATTATGCAAGTGCTTCAAGAACGCAATGTTGAAAGTGCTTGTAAGAGTGTCAAAACTAGCAAGAAGGATACTTACTATTTTTTTTTTGAAGAGACTTTCAGCCTTAGGCTGGTTCGTCTCTGGGAACCCCAGATGAGGATTCCCCTACTTGAGGAGAGTGGGAATTTTAGAGGGAAATTACCCTAAAGGATACTTACTTCGATGGCTGCTTTCGCCTCATGGTGAACATACAATAGGCTGCTTTTTGCTTTGAAAGACACTTTTCATACAGAGCCCGAAATAGTACGGTGGAACCAGCAATGGAACCTTCATCCGGATACAAAAAGAGCGAACTTCTCAGGTGATTTCCCGGAGATACCTTGGTAATTGGTTTAAATCCCAACAAACGCATTCCCGGCTGAAGCATCTGCTTCATATTGGTGACCTCATCCACTGAAAAAATTACTTTCTCGCCTCCGATGGTAAGAGTTTTTCTGCAAAGAGAAATTACAGTCAACTTTAGCGTGATGTCGAAAATTAAAAGTAATTACCACCAATACCTTTGATCTCCCGGAAGGAGCAGTTTGCTGTGCGATTCAGACAGATCATCACTCACAGATGTTGCTTGATACGACCGTTTGGAGATGATTACTTCGTTTGTGTCCCTCAGTAATTTCACTTTCGAAGGATATTTCGTTTTTCTGGCAAAACATTAATCAAGACAGCATATATTACTATCGCACATACTCTCGTTTAGCTTCAAAGCTTGTTTTTTAAATTAATAAAATTTGCTTCAACAGTCTCTAAAATCTCTAAATCGACTACAGTGAATAGAGTAGGGGAACTAGGGGCAAGAAGATAACCCTAACGATAGCGCGTTTTTATATGTGATTCCGTGAATATTTATAGGAGCTTGTGAATCGAATTGTAAGTTTATAACCTTGTCTCCATGTATCATCATTGAAATTAAAATTAAACCCCATCAAAAAATGTTAATGATTTTTTCAAAATGTCATGTCGAACCTGCTCTAAAAATGCTACGGGGCAAGAGGGCCACTCTTATGGGGCAAAAAGACCATGTGTCTAAAATGAAGTTAAACTGATAAATGTTCATTTCTAAACAACAAATTACTATTCTTAGGTATAACAGCAACTGCTTTTATTGTTTATTCCACTAAAATATTGACTTAACGATATATTTTTTTATATCTAAAACATATAAACCATGTGCGTCAAAGATTCAAATGGAAACTATTTTTGATACTATTTTATACAGTTTGTTTTCCAAAATTTCACGAAAACAATGTATATTGGAAACATAAATGCCCAATTGTGTTAATTTCTGAACAGTTTTGTACAATTTAATACATAAATGTAGGGGTGGCACTCTTGCCCCGTATAATGTTTATTTTTAGGAATATAATTTTTGATTAATTAAACAAAATATTTAATAATTTATTGTTATTAATGTATCAAACAACCATCAATAGTGATGTCTCAATGCAGAAATTGTGAAAAAAAATAAATTGGAAATTCCGAAAAACCTTATTTTATGATGCCTTATTCTTATAAAAAACTAGCTTTTCAATGCATCAACACAAAATGATTTTTTGCATTTTTTTTACGACTTCGATTCGGACAGAACTTTTTAGAATGCTTCATAGGAATACCGTGCATAGGTTCATCGTGAGATAAAATTGAAATGATTGCATTTTCAAAATATATTGAGGGTGGCACTCTTGCCCCGGGTGACCTTCTTGCCCCTAGTTCCCCTACCTATATTTGAAAACATTACAATGTTATCCTCAACGACAACTTACCTTGAAAGAGAGTAAACGTTAACTCCTAGCGAGACATCGTCCGCCAAATGCCACTGGATGTGAGATAGAGCCCTTTTCTTGAAATCACGCCTAAATATTCTGGCCAACAGAGGTTCACGTGATTCTTGATAGCGAGGAAAACGGAACTGATCAGGATCTTCCTCTGCCACCGTACATAGAAATTCCTAAAAAAATAGCGTTTAATTTATTTCTTTAATATGGGCAACCTTATGTAGTTTTCTCTAACCCGATAAAATTTGGACCCATCGAAATCTTCGCTCATTGGAATGAGAACGATATTCACGTCCAATTGCTGGAGGTCTTTGGCTTTGACGAAGCTCTGCTGGTACTCATAGCTCCCCGCAGAATGTGGCTCGTCGTTGGACGTGAATAGTACGATACTCGATTGCTCCAATTTATAGCCACAACGTGTGAACACTCGTGAGCAAAGCCAAAGGACGTCAGCCATGTTGCTATCTAGTAATGACATCATTTTTATCATCTTTAACTATCAATCCAATAAAAAAACAAACCTTGCGAATGGCCAAATTTGCGATCAAAGTCGAAAAGGTCGTCAGATTCCCGGAAATTCATAATTTTACGAATGGAATCAGCCGATGGATTCGACAGTGGCATATAAATTGCTGTTTTCTTTGGAACTACCAATCCAGTTTCAAGTTCGATTTCATCCGGAGGAGCAGGACTGTGCTCTATGTTGAAAAACACCACGCCGACCTGCGAAATTAATCAGCTTTTTAAATACCGACCCGACATTTAGATAAAATAATTCGTTAATTGGTATACCAAATCCTTTTCGCTGCTAATTATTTTGTTTCTCATTATGGCCTCGACCAATTCCAGGGACTCCTTGAAATTCGTGAAGCCATCCCTTCTTTCGGCGAACATGTAATCGCCGCAATCTATCAGTGCCAAAAGACCTTCGCGCCCACCGAACACATACTCTTGATTATCGTCTTCATCTTCAGCATGATTCGGATTCCAGTACATCCTGTCGGCTGGTTTTAATGACAGTTGTTTGCAAGGATTCCAACCGAATGCCTAGAACAAGCAACAAGCATGAGTATATTTCATTAATTTTTTTCGATGTAGGGGAAATGCAGGTAATGTTCGGCCTAAGTGTCCCTAATTTGGGCCCATACATAAATTCAGCAATCGACTAAATTTTCAATAGCAACCAAAAATATCCATTAGTAACGTCCCAATAACGCGTTCATCTAGATAAAACTGATAAATAGCAGATTTTTAGCGATGGGCTTAATATTAGATACATAGGCCAACAATTAGAGACATTTCCTCTATTTAACATGAAGATTATCACTTTTCTGAACAAGTTAATCTAAAATTATTTTACTTACCAAGGTGCTAGCACGCGATAAAATTTATAAAAAAAAAATCAAAACTTAACTCATTCTGCGCTCAAAACTTCTGTTTTGTTTCGTGTTAAATCAAGAAACCATCAGAGCAGAGTGCACGCTTATTCTGGTAAACTCAAAATTGAGTCGAATGTACTCATTCAGCGGCAAGTAGGGCTACTCAAAATTGAGTAGCCTTACACTCAAAATTATTACTAAATGAAGAAAGGTTAAAAAATAATAATTTCTGGATCAACAATAGAAAAGGGCCCATCAACATTTGTAAACAAACCGTTCCAAAGCCCTTTACTCACAAAGCAAAGGCCACCCACGCAAACCAACACCACAAACGAAGTGACAGACGACTTACTGGCGAAGAAATCCATTTAAATAATGTGGTTCACTGTAATAGAATTTTCTTGGAAGCTTGTGCCATCATCCACCAGATGGGTTAGTTTTTTTGTTTTGATTTGAACAAAGTTGATTTTGTGTACAATGATTCTTTGACAGTGTGCAAAGAGTGCGTATCATTTTGTCATTTTTTTATGCATTTCAGTTTTGAGTAGAGTGAAAGAGATAGAACCAAAACATTCTAGTACATTTGGTGAAAATGCTAGTTCAATCTAGTAGTAGTGTTGCCATGTGTTACAATCCAGTAGTAGTGGTGTTGCCATGTGGTACACTGAAAAATTGCAATAGAAGGTTAGTCACCAAAGTTTTCGAGCCGCTCTGTCTGTCACTTCGTTTGTGCCAACACCATCATCGCATAGTGGAAACTTCCACCTACACGATGATGGTGTTGGTTTGTGTGGGCGGCCTTCGATTTGTGAGGAATGGGCTTTGGAACGGTTTGTTTACAAATGCTGATGGGCCCTTTTCTATTGTTGATCCAGATTTTATGGTTAAGTAATGTTTATGCATTGATCGGATTAAAGCTTGACTTAAAATTATACTTCATTAGAATAATGTTGCGGAATGCATTCAGTGTATACGAGGTAAATATACAAAAAATCAGTGCTAACATTTGAAAACGGCACAAAAGCCATTTGTAAACAAATGGTTTGTGGGCCCTTTACTCGCTACCCGAAGAACGCCCACGCAAACCAACAGCATCGTCAGGAAGGGGAAAATTTCCCCTACCCGATGTTGCTGTTGTGTCGCGTGGGTGTACTTCAAGTAGTGAGTAAAGGGCCCACAAACCATTTGTTTACAAATGGCTTTTGTGCCGTTTTCAAATGTTAGCACTGAAATGTCAAAGTTTCACACGTCATGTAAAACTCTATAGTGGTCATTCGTTCAGTATTATTTTTTGTGTCTTTATTTAATTGGAAGAATGATCGTTAAATCTTTCCGGCTTGTTGGGTGAGTATGAGCAGGTTTATAATCACAAACGAAGTGACAGACGACTTACTGGCGAAGAAATCCATTTAAATAATGTGGTTCACTGTAATAGAATTTTCTTGGAAGCTTGTGTCATCATCCACCAGATGGGTTAGTTTTTTTGTTTTGATTTGAACAAAGTTGATTTTGTGTACAATGATTCTTTGACAGTGTGCAAAGAGTGCGTATCATTTTGTCATTTTTTATGCATTTCAGTTTTGAGTAGAGCGAAAGAGATAGAACCAAAATATTCTAGTACATTTGGTGAAAATGCTAGTTCAATCCAGTAGTAGCACAAACGAAGTGACAGGCGGAGCGGCTCGAAAACTTTGGTGACTAACCTGCTATTTCAATTTTTCAGTGTACCACATGGCAACACCACTACTACTGGATTGTACCATAGAGGTAACTCTAAGACTAGAAGGTCCCGCAGAAACGTGCTCAACTTTTTGGCACAGCCCTGGTACTCTCTTTGGTCCCAAGCTAGTCGGTTCACCCCTCGAAACATAGGAAAAACCAATAACCCCTCATTTTATCTGTCAAACTTTCATAGCGAATCAAAACAAACATTGCGTAGTACTAGAATTTCGACTAGATACGTTTGCTTGGGACCAATAGGCTACTAAAGTGGTGAGCCAATTTAAAATCGTTAGTTTCGTATTGATTGTTGATTGTACCACATGGCAACACTACTACTGGATTGTACTAGCATTTTCACCAAATGTATTAGAATGTTTTGGTTCTATCTCTTTCACTCTACTCAAAACTGAAATGCATAAAAAAAAATGACAAAATGATTCACTCTTTGCACACTGTCAAAGAATCATTGTACACAAAATCAACTTTGTTCAAATCAAAACAAAAAAACTAACCCATCTGGTGGATGATGGTACAAGTTTACAAGAAAATTCTATTACAGTGAACCACATTATTTTAATGGATTTCTTCGCCAGTTAGTCGTCTGTCACTTCGTTTGTGGTAATAGTGTTGCCATGTGGTACAATCCAGTAGTAGTGGTGTTGCCATGTGGTACACTGAAAAATTGCAATAGAAGGTTAGTCACCAAAGTTTTCGAGCCGCTCCGTCTGTCACTTCGTTTGTGTTTATAATGCTGGACCTCTCAAATAGCATGTACCTGGTCTTCGGGTCCAGCTTATACTGTATAAATTTCATTGTTTAAAAAACAGATTCACCTTCCAAGGCTCCTCGAATACACCGGCCGTCATCATCGCTGGCGACCAGTTCGGACCGAAAGCTGGGTCATGGTCTTGTTCTGGATGCTACACCAACAACAAAGCCGATGATCTGTGCTCTGACACACCCCGAGATACAACCGTGCCCTATAAGGAAAGCTAAGGAGTTCTTGGAGGTAACACTCCAAAATTCAGTCAATAGGCTCAGTGTCACAGTTTCACTTCGACTTCAAGCATTATAAAATTCTGATAATGGTTCCCTCATTCCTTCAGAAACATCTTTGATCCACATAACGTAAAGCTGGCTGTACTATTCGCCAACACCAACGCTCTGGTGTTCGACTTCTGGACGACGTAGGATGCGTATGGAATCGATCGCAGCAAATACGATGCACTGGCAATGACATTCTGTCAAATATCCGGCAGTCAAATATCCGGCAGTCACAATCTGGCCGCAAGCCTCCGTTGGCTCAGAGCAGTTATCATCAATGCATTCGTATAGTCAGTTGCCAAATTTCCCACTCCCCTCACTGATCTTGAGCTTCGGCATCCTAATGACTGCAGTTTTCAAGCGTAAAACAAACGACGTCTACCTTTCTGATCGTAAAGTTGGTTTGTTACGACGAAGAGAATGCCATGTACAGCGTAGTGATCCAGATGTTTTTTTGTCAGGCTGAATAACTTGTCGACGGCCCAAGATGTACTGCAATATTAATTTGGAAAAATAAACGTTATTTCGCATGACAATTTTTCCTCGGATTTTTCTTTGTATTGATTCTCAATAATAACAATAACAACATTGAAAAGACAGTGGTCAATTATGTACACATTCCTTAGATTATCCAACAGTAAACAAAAACTGCATAAACGCACTTTATACTATTCAATGTATAAACCATTTTTATACTAAGAGCGTATTCTCTCCCTTTATACCGAACTATGGGTCGGTCAGGAGAGTTGCGATTTAGCGTAGCTTTTATTCAAGAGCAAATTTTCATTACGTCGAATGTAACAAAGGTAAACAAAGTCGAGCTATCAGTGTCAATCGATTCTCCTGCTATTACACCATATACTGTGCGAATATAGGATCAAATCCCATTTCTAAATTTATTTGCCAGTCAAATTGCTTTTTGACGTAACCACCTTCCGATCAAAATAGTTTTCGATGTTACTTAAGTCACCCAATTTCTATGGAGATGCCGTTTGACTTAAGTAACAGCGCTGAGAAACCCGTGAAAAGTGTACGTTCGTCGTTTCGCTTTCTCATTATTAAAGTGAATAAATCGAACTGTTGGTGCTAAGATGATTTCGTTATTCCTAAAATGATGAATGGGCTGCACGTAAGGGGACGTAATTGATAATTCTCCCGAATATCCTGGTAAATACACTTTGACTTAAGTAACAATAGGGGCCACCAAACGACGTATAATAACTTTTGACTCAAAAACCAGTATTTTTTAGCATGAAAGCTAGCGATTTGCATTTGTATGATTAAAACCCTGCTAAATATGTTAAACATTGCTATCACTATGAGATTATATGTGTTTACTTGGAAATAGGAATAACTTTTCGGTCATCAAAACAAAACTGTATTTTTCTAGGATTGGTGCGAATGTTACTTACGACATAATGAAAATTTGCTCTTGTTATAATATTTAGAATTGAATATTTTTTGAGTGTATGTTGACTCACTTTTGAGTAATACCAACAATCAATACGAAACTAACGATTTTAAATTGGCTCACCACTTTAGTAGCCTATTGGTCCCAAGCAAACGATTAACGTACCCTATTCTAGTTGAAATTCTATTACTACACTATGTTTGTTTTGATTCGCTATGAAAGTTTGACAGATAACATCAGGGGTGTGTGGATTCATGCAGAACATGCAGGGGTGAGTGAAATAGCTTGGGACTGCTTGGGACCGTTGTTCTGGTACTGAGTGAGCCAAAAATAATAATGATTTTCTTCGGGACCCAGTGGTCTTAGAGTTACCTCTATGATTATACCACAAACGAAGTGACAGACGGAGCGGCTCGAAAACTTTGGTGACTAACCTGCTATTGCAATTTTTCAGTGTACCACATGGCAACACCACTACTACTGGATTGTACCACATGGCAACACTACTACTAGATTGAATTAGCATTTTCACCAAATGTATTAGAATGTTTTGGTTCTATCTCTTTCACTCTACTCAAAACTGAAATGCATAAAAAAATGACAAAATGATACGCACTCTTTGCACACTGTCAAAGAATCATTGTACACAAAATCAACTTTGTTCAAATCAAAACAAAAAAACTAACCCATCTGGTGGATGATGGCACAAGCTTCCAAGAAAATTCTATTACAGTGAACCACATTATTTAAATGGATTTCTTCGCCAGTTAGTCGTTTGTCACTTCGTTTGTGATTATACTATAATTTTCCTACAATCCCTACACATTTTTTATCACGATTGGAGAACTTGTTTGTTGCTGGTTTCATAAAAGCGTCTGACTTAACAAAACTAGGTCCATCTCAGGCTGTTCATTGATGTAGAGCAAAACGGTATTGAATTGGATATTAACGGAAGTAAGATTTATGTCTATTTTGTTCTAATGGGTATCTTAGGAGATAATTTGGGAATAAATACGTTAATGGGATATGCTACATTCTTCAGTGCGTTGCTTTATTGCAGATTTTGCACTATGAATAAATATGAATCGCAAACGAATGTAAGGCTTGACTTTCATCAAAACCGAAACAAAAGCAATTATGCTATTGACGTTCAAAAACCATTTAAAGAATCAGGTATAAAAGAAGAGTCTACACACTTAGAAATTATCGCCGACTTCGGTAATTTTTACCGAAATCTGAACAGCTGAACTGTTCGGTAAACTTTATGCAATTAAATTCAATTGCTTTTCAGCTACTTTGAAACTTAATCTCCTCTAAAATGACAAGATTTGATCATTTAAACAAGGTTGAACATGTTTTGAAATTATTTTTAAATTCAATAGCCTTTAAAATGAAGGTCAAAGTTTTACCGAACGTTCAGCTGTTCTGATTTCAGTAAATTTACCGAACACGAAAACAAAATCTTAGTGTGTACATTCAATAAAGTAAAGCATTATCATGTGGCTGAATTATGATTTTTATTCTCATGGAATTTGTAACTACGACATGTCTCTTGTTTTATCTTACATGATCAAACATTTGAAAATTTCCTTGAAAACCATTAACTACCGAATTCAAATGTTTGATTGTAAAGAAACAGAAAAAAGGAATACGTTTAAAACAATTACTAAGGAACAAATCAAATCAACTAATTTTAAAATGACAGCAAGAGAAATGATGTTCTTTGTGCATTACTTTCCTTTAATTTTTGGTGAATTAATACCAGAAAATGATAAGGATTTTGCTTCCTAGATTTAACGATGAACTTCTCTGTACTTTAAACTTAAGAAATTCTTTATGTAATCAATTAAATGTCATATTATATAAGCATAGTTGAATAAATAAGTTTCAAATTCAATAAAAAAGGATAAATTATGAATCGTGAATTTAATGATAAAAACGAAATCAAAAACTATAATTTTTCTATACCAAGAAAAACAACCCTTGTTTTAAAATATACCATACTCCACACTTAAGTTTACTTTAAAAACGTGCTGGTTTAAAACGCATCTGATGGTTAAACCACAGACAAACAGACATAACACATTGAATATTTCGCACTGTAAAACATCGTCGCTAAAACATTACCGCCATCTGTTGAGTATACTGTGGTGGGTAGTACGCTGAACAGATGGCGGTAGTGTGTAACCGTCAAACGCAAAGGAATTAACTATGCGCGCTGCAGGTGGCAGTACTACCAACTAAGATACTTTTAAATTGACCGTTAAATGCATGTTCGATGAACAACTTGCGAGTGTTATGTCTGCTTGTCTGTGGTTAAACTATTAACCAGGAATTATTGTCGAGAGCACTATGAAGCATAGTAGTTTTAACTCCAATGCATTGACATGATTGTCATGGTAAAATACACAACTTCCAATTTTAAAAAGAATATCATATGTAGTCTGCACAAATTAAAAGGTGTTATGTATTTGAAACAACCCTACAATATAGTATTATCAACTGCGGAACTGCTCTCAGTGTACTCAACGTTGGGTTCCCACACTTTACTACCCCTGTTGGGTGGTTTTACTCCTCCGTTTTTGACAACATTAGAAGGAGAAAAGGAGACAAACTAGTCAAAAGTAATTAAAAGTCTCGCTTTGAGCTTAAAATTAAGAATGCGTTATGAAAAAGTATGGATAATTTTTATGAAATTACAATGCTTGATGATGGAAAAGAACAGTAACTGCATTTGTTGCTTCTGAATGTTTGGCTCCCGTTTGAAAGTTCACACTGGCTCCCAAGTGACAAGCACATTGAGTAAGTCCGCAGTACTCAGATGTATACTAGTATTAAAGTTTAGAGATGGATGCCCTTAGTTTGTCAACTTGTCACTCCCAACCGAGGGGGGCGACTCTATCTACGATGCAGGAAAAATTGTGTTTTGCTGTGGTTAGCTGCGCACACGCTGAGTAGATATGAAGAAGATTGATGACGATTTTGAAGATTTCCTGCAAAAAATGATGCGCGATGCAAGTAGATGGTAGAAATCAAAGAAGATTTTTTAAGTTTGATTCGCTAGTGTGCACACCAAATTTTAGTTTTTATTATCAGTAAAACGTTTTGCTGGATCATGATCAGCAGCAAAAAAGCTTTACTGAAAAACAGCAAACGATATTTTTTACCGAAAAATTCAGCTAACATAAACGGTTTGCTGGACACCCAGTAAAGAGCTGTCTATCTAGCATCACAGTCGCCAGTATTTGCATTTGTACGATTCGTATAAACCACCAAGGAGGAGGAGGAGGAGATAAACAAAACTACACATATATAAAATTATGTTGGTAAGAGCACTGCTTGTATTAAATTTTAATAAACTATGAATGGAAAAGACTCTAGGATAATAAATAAAGACAAAATTTGTGTATTTGTATCAAAAATCTTTAACAGAAACTGTCAGCCCCAAGTGAAAATAAAATCGATTTACTGAGTTCATTCAGCAAAATACTGTGAGCTGTCAAAAAATTTTATTGCTGAAAAATCAGTGAAGAAATTTAGCTGATTATCAGTAAAATGTTGTCATTTTGACAGAAGTTGGAATTGCTGGGAAATTCAGCAGCATTATTTTGCTGGAAATTTTGCTGATCTTTCATCAAGTCTAAAACCAGCAAAATTCTGCTGAGTTTCAGCGATTTAAATATTGCGCGTTTCACACCAAATTGGAGTAATAAGCGCGTTTTCACTTATTAAAAAGTGTGATAAAACTGCAACTTTACGTCTAATAGTCTTGGTGTCTTCGGTGCACTTATTCCTTATGATGCGAGCAATAAGTGCTCCGAAGACATCAAAACGATTTGACGGAAACGTGCACTTTTATCACACTTTTTGCATTTTTGGGACAGTCCAGTTTCAGATGCAATCAGCAATATGGTGTGTGGAGATTTGTTGAGCATCTAGAATTGAGATTTAGATGTGTCGCACCCCTCGCTCCCAAAACAGTTTACCCATTTTTGGGTAGGTTCAGTTTTGACCGATCTGGTGGATTCTTCCCAAATTTGGTTAGCTTTGAAATAGCGTGAACATCGACTCTACACACGCTATTTCAAAACTCCCCAAATTTGGGTACAATCCACCCAGATCGGTCAAAACTGAACCTACCCAAAAATGGGTAAACTGTGTTTGAAGCGACAAGGACAAGTTGACAAAATTTAATGAAGAACATCGACATGAATCCGATAGACGCACGAGAATTTTAGGTATTATAAAGTTAATTTTTAAATTGTCATACGGAAGACTACTGAGAATGGAATTTAAATTTCCAGGCGCTCGTACAGCATCAAACCGAATATTCGCATCACATACTCAATATGGATAAGACTGAACAAATATCGAGACGGAAATGTATGGTAGAAAACTGCAGGAACATCGGCATTATAACAAGGTACGTAAATTGAACACGTTATTATCTCTATTAACGATGCAATGCTGTAATTATAAAGGATCCTTCCAGACCACACGCTGGCAATGGGCTTTGGTTGGCTGGACTTTTATTTCTGAGTCATGCTATCAACGTATGGAATCGAGATAAGGTGCCAGTTAGCCTTAACTACAAGCGATCAACTATTCTATGTTTTGGATTACTGCTGCATTCAGTGGGCATCTTCGTCTCACTAAGTAACCAAACTCGCCAGCGGTTTATTGGGAAGCTGTTGTACGTATTTTCCAGCCTTGGTTTAACCAGCTTCTTGCTTTGGATCTGTTTAAAGGACAATGTAGTCATCAGCACAGTCAGTGCAATTTTCGGAATAATTCTGTATGATCGAGTTTTTCTTCGAGTGCTGAAGCAAATGCCCAAGTGTTTTACACTGGGCGAAGCTACACTCGTTTGCCAAGGGTTTACGATTTTTGCATACAATGTTTTTCTACAAGTACCAAAGGTACTTATTGATAAGGAGCCATCGCCGGATCTCAATATAATGCATATTGTGCTACAGGTAAGCTGCAGCTTTGATTTCTACTTAAGTTCTAAGTTATGAAAATCTCTATTACAGGTTATTCTTTTGGGGATCTGTATTATCGTTGCCTTGTGCCATCTTTTACCAATGTTTCGGAATACCATCCTTTTCTACTTGCTGACTACAGTTATTTCAACGTGTACAGCATTGTTTCCCGTGTTTGGACATCCTACAGTTGTTGTTTTGTTTAAGTTTGTTCTAAGTGACATGGAACGGATGCTAGTGATCGCTCTCTACATGTTCCTGCTTTTAGTAACAAGTGCTTTTGTTGTCTGGCAAATCAATCGTAAGACAAATGCCAATACGACAACGCGAAAAATATTCCATATTTTGATTCTGCTAGTGTACCTTCCGGGACTATGGTCTCAATGCACGCTTCTTCATTTAGCGTCTGGCTTGATGCTGGGAATGCTGCTCATGTTAGAGGTAATGTAAGGCATGCGTCGAAGTTTAACACCTATTACTATACATAATTCTCGTTTATCTTCAGACTGCCCGAGTTATTCAACTGAAGCCTGTTTACCAATCACTTGATCAGGTCGTAAAGTGTTTCATCGATGAAAAGGATGCAGGAATGATCGCACTCACACCAATATACCTGTTAGTTGGCTGCTCTTTACCTATTTGGCTACATCCTGTACCTTGTGATCTCACAGATTCTGGTGGATTGAATTTGCTAAAATTGCTTGCTGGTGTTCTATCGGTTGGAATCGGAGACACAATGGCAAGCGTATGTGGCTATCTGTTCGGTAAACATACATGGCCAGGATCCGTCAAGTCCGTGGAGGGAACCATATCGAGCATCATAGGTCAGGCTGGTGTTGTTTTCCTGCTCTTCAGATTTAGCTACGTTCATTTGAACACATTGAGAGCTGCGACTGCCGGTGCTGCAATTATTATCAATGCACTGGTTGAGGCTAAAACTAGTCAAGTAGATAATCTGGTGTTACCGTTAGTGACTTACGTCGTGCTCGGTACTGCATAATAAAACATACAATGCAAAAAAAATTAAACATCATCTTCTTTGATTTTTACACTGCAACTAATTTAAGAGCTTTTTACGTTCCAAGCATTGAAAAAAAAAATCGTCCAAGAAATAAGACAGTTCGTAAAAAAAAGTAAGCTCCAAGATCGTCACAAATTGTATAAGCTCCACAAGTTAACATATGCATATTTTTTTAACCACAGAATTTTAAAACTTGATTTTGATTTTACTAGACAGAAGGTGGTCTTATGAAGGCCAAATTCTTTGCTCCATGATTCACGGATGGGTTTGCGTGTTGTGTGCGTGAGGCTCATTTAAAATATTGTCACCAGCAGCGGTACCCGCGCTAGGAGAACAGTTAAGTAATATTGGTGACGAACAGATACTTGAATTTCCTGAATCGAATTCCACCACAAACGAAGTGACAGACGGAGCGGCTCGAAAACTTTGGTGACTAACCTGCTGTTGCAATTTTTCAGTGTACCACATGGCAACACCACTACTACTGGATTGTACCACATGGCAACACTACTACTAGATTGAACTAGCATTTTCACCAAATGTACTAGAATGTTTTGGTTCTATCTCTTTCACTCTACTCAAAACTGAAATGCATAAAAAAATGACAAAATGATACGCACTCTTTGCACACTGTCAAAGAATCATTGTACACAAAATCAACTTTGTTCAAATCAAAACAAAAAAACTAACCCATCTGGTGGATGATGGCAAAAGCTTCCAAGAAAATTCTATTACAGTGAACCACATTATTTAAATGGATTTCTTCACCAGTAAGTCGTCTGTCACTTCGTTTGTGATTCCACAGACTGTTTGAGTCTGTAAAGGCCGGCGCACAATAGATACGTTTTCAGGTTTTTTGACAGTTAGCCCATGCATTATCTGTAAAAAAAACCCGAAAACGTATCTATTGTGCGCCGGCCTTAAATCACAAATGAAGTGACAGACGGAGCGGCTCGAAAACTTTGGTGACGCACCTGCTATTCCAATTTTTCAGTGTACCACATGGCAACACCACTATTACCACAAACGAAGTGACAGACGACTAACTGGCGAAGAAATCCATTTAAATAATGTGGTTCACTGTAATAAAATTATCTTGGAAGCTTGTGCCATCATCCACCAGATGGGTTAGTTTTTTTTATTTTGATTTGAACAAAGTTGATTTTGTGTACAATGATTCTTTGACAGTGTGCAAAGAGTGCGTATCATTTTGTCATTTTTTTATGCATTTCAGTTTTGAGTAGAGTGAAAGAGATAGAACCAAAATATTCTAGTACATTTGGTGAAAATGCTAGTTCAATCTAGTAGTAGCACAAACGAAGTGACAGACGGAGCGGCTCGAAAACTTTGGTGACTAACCTGCTATTGCAATTTTTCAGTGTACCACATGGCAACACCACTACTACTGGATTGTACCACATGGCAACACTACTACCACAAACGAAGTTACAGACGACTAACTGGCGAAGAAATCCATTAAAATAATGTGGTTCACTGTAATAGAATTTTCTTGGAAGCTTGTGCCATCATCCACCAGATGGGATAGTATTTTTGTTTTGGATTTGCACAAAGTTGATTTTATGTACAATGATTCTTTGACAGTGTGCAAAGAGTGCGTATCATTTTGTCATTTTTTTATGCATTTCAGTTTTGAGTAGAGTGAAAGAGATAGAACCAAAACATTCTAGTACATTTGGTGAAAATGCTAGTTCAATAGATCAGTGCACGGTCCCTAACCTCACTTTTTGCTCCCTATCATTTTGCTTCTGAGTAAAAGAGATAGCAACGAATGGGAGCCAAAACAAACCACCCAAAACTGTCAAAACTTACGGGTGAGAGAAGAGTGCGGCAAATCTTCGTGAACTGATCAATCCAGTAGTTGTGTTGCCATGTGGTTCAATCCAGTAGTAGTGGTGTTGCCATGTGGTACACTGAAAAATTGCAATAGCAGGTTAGTCACCAAAGTTTTCGAGCCGCTCCGTCTGTCACTTCGTTTGTGCCCCAAGTGACCAGTGTACAACAGAGGAAGTGGAATTCCATGGACCGAGCCCCTTGGAGTTGCCATCCAGCTTTAATTCACCCCGGTAATCCATCCGGTCGTCAAGCCATTTTTTCATCATCGTGCCGACCCACCAACACCAACCATCACCACCAGCAGCAGCAAACGGACCATCTAGCTGCAACGGCTGATAGGTTGTTTACAACCGGCATAAGTATTAGACAATACATTTTGCAAGTTCATTGCCTCCCTATTGTAGTTTAATTTTGCCTCGTGGCGCGTGAAGGCCGGCGCACAATAGATACGTTTTCGGGTTTTTTGACAGATAATGCATGGGCTAACTGTCACAAAACCTGAAAACGTATCTATTGTGCGCCGGCCTTGACTCTGTCTCTCACCCCTGGTAGGGGAGTATGGGTCATAGTGAGACAACTTTTTGCAAGTAGATATAAGTTTTTTTTTTTTTTTTCGATTTTTTTTTTCTTTTTGATTTGTTTGTACGTCGGGCAAAAAATTTAATTACTAGTAATTAAAACTAATTAATTAGTGAAGGTTTTAATTTTTTTTTTTCCTTCTTAAGTGGTTGCGCACCACTTTTGCGCAACACTTATGGCACAAACGAAGTGACAGACGGAGCGGCTCGAAAACTTTGGTGACTAACCTGCTATTGCAATTTTTCAGTGTACCACATGGCAACACCACTACTACTGGATTGTACCACATGGCAACACTACTATTGGATTGAACTAGCATTTTCACCAAATGTACTAGAATATTTTGGTTCTATCTCTTTCACTCTACTCAAAACTGAAATGCATAAAAAAAATGACAAAATGATACGCACTCTTTGCACACTGTCAAAGAATCACTGTACACAAAATCAACTTTGTTCAAATCAAAACAAAAAAACTAACCCATCTGGTGGATGATGGCACAAGCTTCCAAGAAAATTCTATTACAGTGAACCACATTATTTAAATGGATTTCTTCGCCAGTTAGTCGTCTGTCACTTCGTTTGTGCTATTACCACCAGCATGATACAACCTTACACTTCGTTTGTGTTACCAGTGTATTCAATAATCTAGGTCCTATTTAGGATTATATCTGAAAAATCCAAATCTGGCCAACGCCCACCCTAAACCTAAACCTGTTCTAATCCACCTGAAATGACTAACGAATGGAAGACTTTGACTACCCAGCCATGCAATAGTCTCATTCCGTGCCTTATGGCAACTTGATGATTCTATTGCGCTCATCTTCTGGCACCACCCAGGGGAGACTTGGTCCTGTACCCAATGCTTAACTTATCTTCATTTCACTCAGCTACTCGCAATTTCTTGTGATATAGTGGGCGGAATATTATTGCGGATTTCACACCTGATTAGACTCCTGCGCTAAAAATAAGTACACAGTAATATTTTCGCACTGGTCATAAAAGTTAAATATGGAGCTTCTTAATGCTTTCTAGAGCTTTAATTCAACAGTGTAGCTTGCTAGTAATGTTCTAAAGCTGTTACTGCTTTCAAATAAGTCGATTTTAAAAAATTTCTGGCCTGTGCGAAAATATTACTGTGCAATTATTTTTTGCACAGGAGTGTAATTTGGTGCAAAATGCGCAATATTATATGAGACAATTCAATGCAGACGTCTTTCCAAATTTGGCAGATCGACAGGTAATCGGTGAGTTACCACGATAGTTGCTATTCAACAACTCGACAACGTCCCATCGTCAACGCCTGCTATGAGAATTTCCCATTGCAGACGCCAACAAAATGACGTCATCGAGCTATCGATCAACTACCCTGGTTGTCGCCTGGTACCTTATAGCACGATGCTAGGAGGCGAACCGGAAGAATCGACGAGCTACCTCCCCCAAATGATACTTCTGGCAATGGTCACAAAATACCATCTCTTCCTCAGCACTATCTCGACGTTGGCATCCCGCACAACTGTATCCTGACCGTTCTGGATCGGGGTTAGGGTTTGGTCGAACCATTGTAAATTTTTAAGAAAATGTTCGGACCAGCTTAATGGCGAAAATTTTCTTAGCAGTGTTTATTTTTACACAGCTTAAAACTGCAATAGTTTATTCATGTAATTTGTTTTCTAAATGCATATGCTTATTTGATTTTTACTTACATTTCAAGACCAACCATTGAAATGGCCTTAACTCCATTTTGTAAACAAACCTTGTAAGGCCATTTTCTCGCGAACCGAAGTCCGCAAAGGCAAACCAACATAATAAAAAGGTAGGAGAAATTCTACTCTACCCGATTGTGGTTTAGGTTTGCAAATGTAGGTTTCGGTTCGCGAGAAAATGGCCTTACAAGGTTTGTTTACCAATTGGAGTTAGAGCCATTTCAATTGTTGGTCTTGATTTACAGTTTCTTTTCAGTCCTTTTATTTCCAGGTTACGCCCGTGCAAGACGTTTTGTAGATCATCGCTATAATACAATTAAATCGACTTCAATAATTTCAAAACGTTCAAACATCAACTTTTTCCGTACTTCCGTACTTCCTGGATTAAAAAACACCTAGAAACTTGCCAAGACATAACACCTAAAGGCTGTGATATTTAATATGAAGAAATCAGAAAATGCAAGTACCGAATAGATTTGTAATTTGTCATTCTTAACTACAAACAAACAAAATAATAGAGAACTACACATTAATTTGTTTTACGTACCACAACAGTTGTCCTACAATGTTTTGTTGAGTTTCAGGCCAATCTTCTTCCGATAGAATGGATTTATTGGGCTCGGCATCAAGTTTGGTTTCAATGCACCCTTCGGTGGTTTCTTGCTGGAATCGTACGGCACCTGGGGCGAGCTCTTCACCTGCTGAATATGCTGATGCAGATCTTGGAAGATGTTTTTGTTCAGGGCAATTTTAACGCGCTTCTTTTTTTCAGCTGGACCGTCCGTTTGTGGTGTTCCAATGGATCTTTTCAACTTGGATAGATTTTTCGGCGTGGCAAATGGGTTCTTCACTAGGGAGGATGGTTTTAATCGACTGGAAGCATCTGATGGCGATTCTTCCTTCAGGTGTTTGTTAATTTCTTTAAGTTTAGTTTTTCTCGATGGAATGAAATACTCCGTTTCGCCTTCCTTCAAAGGTTCAGACCATTCGTCCTTAACTTCAAATGCGCCTTTCTGTTTGGTAGGACGAGGTGCATTTGGTTCACTTGACGTCACCTTACCATCACTCTTCGGTAGTATCAAATCTTCTTGTTTCTGTTCCAAAATCACTTTAGGTTTCTTGCTTTTAGACTCCTGCTTTCGTTGTTTGATGGCTTCAAGTTTTGCATCTCTTTTAATTTTTAGTTTCTTTAACTTTTCCTCTTTAATCTGCGTTTTCGATATCTTTTTCCGCGTCTTCTTTTTGGAAACAGCAGTATCAGTTGGTTCCCGTTTCGAATCTTTCGGTGTTTCTTCCGTTTCAGTCCAAACATTTGACTCGCTCGTTTTTGCACTAGCATTTACCTCTTGTGACTTCAACTTTGCCAACTCTTTTCGCTTTTGCTTTTTTGAACCTTTATCGCCTACCAGTTCCTTCTGGTAGTTTTCCAATTCACCGATCTGCTCATCAATGTCCACGGCATAATCCTTCTTGGCAATACTTTCCATTGACTGGATACCAAGAGGAAACATTCCTTCGGAGAATTTTTTATACTGTTTTACCAACATTTTCATCTGCTTTTTCCCCTTCGATGTGACGAAAGGTTTGAAGCGGTTATTTTCAAACATTTCTACAATTTTGAGAGCATCGAATCTGATTTCATTAATTACGACGTCCACTTGTCCAGCACGAGGATCAAAAACTTTTTCTTTGTCATTATGTCTACCCTCAGAACCATCTTCGTCACCCTGTTCTCCGTCTTCGCGTTCATACCGGACCTCGAAATCTACATCATCGATATTTCCCGTTATAAAGTTAGTTTTTTTCCAAAGGTCAAACTTTTCCTGATAGTCTTGGCCCAATTCCGATTGGTAAAGCAACGGATGGAATATGCTCGATGTGATGTGTTTAATCATTCGCATGTCATTGGTACTAAGCAGACGGATAGCATAGGTGTTAACGATTAAATGTACAATTTCTGGTTCGATTTCTCCATCGCACACTTTGGCAATTTCCTCCAGCAATAAATCGTCGAAATGTTTGGTCAACCCAAATGGCGATTTATCAGCGTTGAGAATAGTTTTTTCGATGTGCTTCATCATTGCACTGACTTGATCCATGGGCCACTGAGCTTCGTGCAACATCGTCAGCATCTGGCGAGTACAACGGCGGACAAGCTAGAAGAAACAAAAACGCTTTGTAAAATAGATCAAATTCAAACATTCAGAGAATAAGAGATAATATTTGATCAAAAGTATACTCAAACATAAATAATTACCATCATGAACTTGTCCATTCTCCAGTGATCAATTCCAAACCATTCGATGCACATTGTTTCTAGAAAGGTTCCAAAATACTGCAACGCCACGGATAGGTCATCGAAACATCTCACTAAAGAAGCGATTTCATCGGCGAGGTTTTCCTGGGTAAGTGGCTTGTCCGACATCCACATGCAATAGAACAATCCCTTCCATAGGCGGAGGAAGTCCGTATCGGTGAATGCTGTAAGCAAACCAAGCCACATTTCAATAGTAATAAAAGATCACAATAACAGACAATGTTTACCGAAGGAGCTCCGGCTGCGAGTTGCCAGCCAAATTTTGAGGTTTTTCATCACTTTGCGGCGCAGTTTCACATCGTTCCCAGCGAGCGATTTTACAAACTTCAGCTCTTTCGCTATAAGAATGGACTTCTCCTCCACCTTAGACACGGATTCCATTTGCTTTTGGAACCGTCTATTCCCATTATCCGCCTTCGGCATTTCGGATTGAATTTTCCCGGCACGTGGATTCGTCGCGATCGCTTTGACCACCATCTTCACCGAACAAAAACACACATGCGAGTCAGAGACGTTGATGCGAATATTGCGAATGTTAAATCAACGATTAATTGACATGTCAAGACCAACCATTGAAATGGCCTTAACTCCATTTTGTAAACAAACCTTGTAAGGCCATTTTCTCGCGAACCGAAGTCCGCAAAGGCAAACCAACATAATGAAAAGTAGGAGAAATTCTACTCTACCCGATTGTGGTTTAGGTTTGCAAATGTAGGTTTCGGTTCGTGAGAAAATGGCCTTACAAGGTTTGTTTACCAATTGGAGTTAGGGCCATTTCAATTGTTGGTCTTGATGTTTGACATCGACGAGGAACAGAAGTACACGATAATCTTTATTTATGAAAATAAAATAAATATTGGTGACACGCTATTTCAAAACTCCCCAAATTTGGGTAGAATCCACCCAGATCGGTCAAAACTAAACCTTTCCAAAAATGGGTAAACTACCCGGAAAAAAATAACCATACAATTACCATTAAATAAAATACAAATACATCCAAATCTATTGCCAACAATCAATCTTATTGTGCGTATATTGTACAACAAATTTTAACATATTGTTATTACATTAGATGTACAATACGTCCCATATAGTATGAATTTTCAACAATAGAAAAACAATAAAATAAATGGTAAATGGCTCAAGTTTGTTCGGGAAAAAGTGATTTTTTGTATGGTTAAGATACATAACAACCCCCTTGTTCTATTGTAGATTTCTCCATTTACCATAGATTATATTGTGAAAACAATAAATTCTATGGTTATTTTATAGTTGTGGACGATACAATTTATTTTAAGTACTTTAAATTCTATTGTATGGTTACAATACATTTCATTGTACCTATATCGTTCTTTTTTTACGGGTACACACTTAATCTAGCTGGGTAAAATCTCCAACAGCCGATTAACTCGCATTTACTTTTCCTGATATCTCTGCAAAATATCTGTTTGTTAGCTGATATCTCAGCAAAATGTTATTTGTTAGCTGAGGCTCGGCAATTATTGTTTTACTTATCCCCATCAAAATAAATTGCAGAATCGCTCGGCTGTTGGAATCTCGGCGAAAAAAATTAAGTGTGTATGTTGAGAGTGACAAGTTGACAACTGAACAAAGTCGATCGGATTCATGTCAATGTTGTCCATTTCAGTGCCAACATTTCAAAGGGGCGTAATTGCATTTGTAAACAATGGCTTTAGCCATAGATTTCTCGCAAATAAAAGCTCACTCATGAAAAATAATAACACCACCAGGTAGAGGAATGTTTCCTCTACCAGCTAGCATTGTAATTTTGGAGAGGTAACCCGGAAAAAAATAACCATACAATTACCATTAAATAAAATACAAATACATCCAAATCTATTGCCAACAATCAATCTTATTGTGCGTATATTGTACAACAAATTTTAACATATTGTTATTACATTAGATGTACAATACGTCCCATATAGTATGAATTTTCAACAATAGAAAAACAATAAAATAAATGGTAAATGGCTCAAGTTTGTTCGGGAAAAAGTGATTTTTTGTATGGTTAAGATACATAACAACCCCCTTGTTCTATTGTAGATTTCTCCATTTACCATAGATTATATTGTGAAAACAATAAATTCTATGGTTATTTTATAGTTGTGGACGATACAATTTATTTAAGTACATTAAATTCTATTGTATGGTTACAATACATTTCATTGTACCTATATCGTTCTTTTTTTACGGGAAGATATCATTCGCGAGAAATTGACGACTAAAGTCATTGTTTACAAAAGCAATTACGCCCCTTTGAAATGTTGACACTGATTTGTCAACTTGTCAATCCCAACATAGTTTACCCATTTTTGGGTAGGTTCAGTTTTGATCGATCTGGGTGGATTATACCCAAATTTGGGGAGTTTTGAAATAGCGTGGATAGAAAGAAATTTACACGGTAAGAAAAAACGAACCAACGGCCAGTTCACTTTTACCTACTTTTGACTAATTTGTCTCCTTTTCTCCTTCTAATCTAGACAAACATTTCAAAAGGTCCTATCGGTCATTGAAGCTGATTGGAGAAAAATTGATTTGAACTTTTGCAATATATTTTTAAATGTCTTTTTTAATTACGACATAAAACGATAATCTTTTGTATTCTCAAATGCATAGGAAACACATAGAATTCGACTGAAGTGTATGTTTCTTCGTTTTATTCAGGTTTAATTCGTGGTTTTGTTACATAGGACCTTTGGCTTTTTTCTGTATCAGTTAGGACCTGTCAAATTGGTCTGATTGCAAAGTTAATGTTACTTAGGACCTTGGTAAGAATACGGTTTAGAGGTCAGATAATTACAACTACATCATTATTTGTAATTGTTGATGGGCTTAAAACTACTATTCTGCCAATTTATTAAGTAAACTACGTTTATAATAAGAACTTGTCCATTATTTTTTTCTGATGTATGCAGGAAAAATGTAAGTGTATGGAAAATTTGCATATTTTTTAATATTCGGTATATTTTTATAAACAAACTCTGTTTTTTCATTCTACATCATTCGTTTTATATTTATTAGCTCAAGCTGTTCATCAATAATTTACATTCATTCATGTTATTCGATCAAATCTACATCGCTGTCCTCCAGTGGATTGAGATCCACATCAAAGTGGTCTACAACCGTATTATTGTTCTTCTTCCTGTTTTTTCTGTTGCAATGTTGCAAAATAATCTTTTTGCTTGACATATGGCATCAGTTTGCGTAAATCGTCCAATTTAGCACTTGGCAATTCAAGTGGTTGATCCGCAATTGGATCGAAATCCTCGTCCAAATTCACGCTTGTAATATCGCATGTCGGATTTGACAGAATTTTGAATAAGCTTTTGCCTTGGTGTACTCCTGGAATCGCAATTAATTCGTCAACTCCATACCAGATGCAGAGCGATTGATTACAGGCATCGTAAATGAAATTTTCTCATATCCCACTTCCCAGTTAGATGTTGGATCCATAGGAATTTCTAAAACTTCATGTTCATATTAGTATAGCATTTCCAACTAACTATTATGAGTTTTAGTTTTTCTATTCCACGTGAAACACGAGATGAAACAAAGGTCCTAATAGCATTTGTATTTTTTTTGGTTGAATGTCAGATTGGACTGTAAACATGTTTAAGGTCCAATCAGAGAGCTGTGCGATATTATAAAAACTTTCAAAGTGGACGTGTTTTTCACATATTTTTATAATTTTCTGAATATTGTCGTAGTCGAAATACGTATCTGTCATGGATACCAAAATTAATTAAGTGGAATTAAATGGAAGATAACCTCTTTTGCTGTTTTATTTAGCATTCCGCTAACAACCCAATTTCATTACTTCATTATGATGGCTACCAAGCCTTTGGGGATTTTCCTTATTAGAGAGTTGTATAGATTTTTCTCCTTTAGCTTACTTAAATCTTTGGTTTTTATTAGTTAGGTAGGTTCCGATTCAACACATTGTAGTTTCATTTTTATACCTATGATCTTGACTTTTTTACCTAGGGGATGAGTACTTAAGGGGTTAGATTTTGATTAGTTCTTTAGTGGGAATGACACTGATGAAGACTGCACATTGTAGTCGAAATACGTATCTGTCATGGATACCAAAATTAATTAAGTGGAATTAAATGGAAGATAACCTCTTTTGCTGTTTTATTTAGCATTCCGCTAACAACCCAATTTCATTACTTCATATTGGAAGATTGCCGTAGTACCTCAACGTAGATTTCGCCACTGCATGATGATGATAATGTTGACAGACGGCATATAAAATTCGTGAAAATTAGCATTAAATCATAATTTTCATCAAGCCTGCGTAAAATCCTTCCAATATAACATTCGAATTGAAGAAGAAAACGTTTTTACGATCAGACTGATGTGCATCTTTGACTTTTCCAGGTGAACTTTTATAAGATATATTCATTTCATTTCACGGATCCATCAATGCTGCATCGTAAATATGATGGTAAACAGAAGTAAATTGCTCAATTACTCAAAATAAAGATGATTTGTCATCTTGTTATCACTTTGAAGACCATCTAGCACCATTTTATAGTATGGTGCGTGTTGAGTAAATCAAATTCCGGTGCGTTTTCCGTCGAAAATTGTGAGTATCAATATGTCTGCCTAAAAAAGGCCATAATGAACATTTATTGAATATTGGCGTCCTATACAACCAATTCTCTATTACCACCAGCATGATACAACCTTTCCTAAGTAAATTCACTTAATTTCCACTTTCATCTTAGTAAAAATCGCACATATTTACCATTTTCTGAAGAATGCAGTTGCGCAGGAGGTAACCTCTCCCTGTGGGTGCAAACTTGTTATGCATAATTTGCCATGAAAACATCTCCGATCCATACCGAAATAATAACAAATAGTTTTCAAACACGTTTTCTTACACGATTCAAGCAAAAGTTTCCACGGGAAATTATTAGTTTTTCTTTATGGACCGATTTGCCCCAAAAAGCGTCTGTTTTACTTGGAAAATTTGGAAACTATCCTCCTTCTAGTAGTTCTCACTTCGAAATGTAGGTGGCGAAAACTTGGAAAAGTTTCACTGCAAGACGCCAATACAAAGTGGACATAACATGGATTTATACTTGCGTCCGTATAATCAACTTTTATACTAAGTATGTATTTTCTCCCTTTATACCGAGCTATATGCGTCGGTCGGGAGAGTTGCGTACACACAAAAAACAAAAATTGTTGATATAAAAATAATGCAATTTCAAAATGAAAGTTTCCCAAATTTCGTTGTTTTAACTGTGAAAATTTTCAAAATGAAAATTATATCTTTGGTTTGAAAGTTTTTCTTTCACTTTGGACTTGTGATTTTAAAAGTGCATTATGTTTTTATAAAAGTTGTTCAACTGTCAAAAACAGAGCTGCCAGGTGGTTTTATAAAAAATCTGTATCCACTCTATTAAAAAATCTGTATTTTCTGTATTGACGATTTTTTTCTTAATTAATCATGTTTTGTTGTTTTACAAATACAGTGCATACAAAAT